CCACAGCCGGCAGGCCTACTGTTTGGTAAATCAGAAAAGGAGGATGAACGTGGCGCAGCCTTCAAATTGACCGTTGCTGTTGCTTCTTGGAACAGCGTTTATCTTACGCTATCTACTGCGGACATAGAAGTTTTGTTGTTTTACCATACCAGTTTTGTGTAACTGTACTACATCCCAGTTACCAATGTTATACTACTCTGCCGATATTTTGAAATCCTTTTCAAATGCGGTACGTAAAATGCTTTTTATCGATTACGGTCATAAAGCTAGGAACACCTTCAAACGGATTGGGAGAAAACATGCCGGCAACATGGGAAAATATCGCGTCATTTGGAAAGTTGTTTTCAGACGAAATCCTTTGGAGAAAGGGCAATTACCACTCATCTCTAGCAATGTGCGTTCATTGTTAGGAAAACCACTGGCCCCGCAGCTCTCATACAACGAAATGAGTATATAAACACAGGTATTGTTATGTTACATGAAAGCTGGTTTCACCCAGACATTGAAGATGGAGCCATAAACATCAGTGGATACCGTGCACTTAAGTCCGAGCGCCCAGGTAGGCCAAGGAATTATGTTGGCGGTGTCATCACGTAAGTTAAACAAATCTGGTGTAACTCAGTCAATCAACTGTCCATTCACTCTACAAGCTCTATTAGCTGTCATTTACTTGAATGCAAGACCAAATTTCGCAGTGGCTTTCAGTCCGTTGTTACCGGGAAGTTTTAGATTGCCCCTGACACAGCATCGTCAGAACGGAGGCTTTTGGTTACGCAACTTTCTTTGGTTTTGATGTCAAAACTAGCATGTTCTGCTTGCATTGATGCTGGTGGTTCTAATAACTGAAATACAATGTCCTTCAAGTTACTTGATCTGGTAAATTTAGCAATTTTATCGACCAGGTAATACGCACAGCAGGAGGTTGCTTACACCAATAAAATTCGTTTTTTTCCACTCAAAAGCATGCACTACTAAGCAACTCGGACCATTGTATACTAAAGATTTGCCATACCACCAACAGTAACACTAACTATGCCGCATTGAAGGAACGACAATTCAGGACTATTCGACGACGCAAGTGCTCGGTGAAAAATATCGCACGACATCTTGAACGGATTTTTCAGTTTTTACAGATGTAGATCTATCGCTTCAGTACGATCATCTCACGAGTTACATGAACTTCTGCTTCCACCTATGCTGCCCTATCAAGACGATGTACATGCGAGTAGATAGCTTTTATTCCCCCTGCTGAAACTACTTCGAAAAAAGAACGTGCTTACAAGATCAAACTGGCCACTTGACTTTAGCAATTAAAGCAGAAATAGCGAGACTAAACAATTTGTGCATTGAAACGGTACCGGAAAACCCTAGCTACCGAGATCTCTGGAGGCGACTGAAACAAATCTGTGGTCAAAGTACCATCGGTAGTATCGGAATCGTGGATGTTGACAAATTCAATTCTGAATTTAATTAATCCCCGTTGAGCGCTTTTCCATTACCCTCCTTCACTAGCTCATACCCAGCTGTCTTATTTGATCAACTTGACGTCAACAGAGAACTTAAGAAGATAAATTAAAATAAAGCTAGTGGCTCTGATGGCTTATTACCCGTGGTTTTGCAGCAGTGTACCGATTCCCTTACATTATCCCTGAAGAATATTTTTATCAAGTGTTTCATGACCAGTGCTATCCCCGACATCTGGAGGTAAGCCGGAGAAACGCCCGTTCCTAAGAAGGAATCACGAAAGTGCCGACCAATATATTGTACTTTCATGCTCTTAAAAGTCCTCAGAAAGCTACTATTTCCGAAGGTTTCCACAGCTACTCGTGTTGATGATTTCTATCAGCGCTCTACGCTAGATGCGGTCACGTACTTTGTGTATGTAAAAACCTTTGCGTTGGACAAAAGGTACGGGTCCGTAAGACTACTTTTCCTTTACTATTCAAATGTGTTCTGGAGTTTGACCGACCAGTTCCGCTTAACTTGTTTTATTTGAACGGAGCCCACCCTGATGTTTATAAGTTTTTGCGTGATGATTTCACTAATCGTACGAACTCTACCCAGTTAAACAGCGACATCTCTATGCTCCGCTCTGACGGTAATGTTTTGCAGGCAGCGATCCTCTCACCCATTTTATTCTCTTTGTATGTCGAAAGACTCCCCACAACATCATCATTTGTTGGATATAAATATGCTGACGATGTTGTCTTGGTTGCAGAGCTCCCTCCAATGAAATGTTTACGCTTTAATGTGGCTTAGACGAAGTTGTGAGTTGGTCATCAATCAGGTCCCATAACCTTGATGTTTTGAAATATGCTGATGTAAGGTTCTAATTTCTTCGCCTTGATAATTTAAGAGTACTTTTAGACACCTCTGCTCTATTAACCTTGGAGGACCAGACCATGCCTATTTCATCCATTGTCATATATCTCGGTGTCTATTTTGTACAAAACCACTCCGGTCTCTTCACGTTTTGGAGACATTTCACAAGGTCAGAGTGTTCTCATTTTATGCTTTTCAGCTTAATAAGTTCTCCGTAGCGTAAAATTTGATTTTGTGATTTGTAACTGCATGTATACTAGTCCACTGAGTGTACTGCTTTCCGGTACTCTTCCCTGGACTGCTGCAAAATGACGTTGTTTTGATTGTGCGATCGAGTAAACATATTTTCAGCTGTGGTGGCTTACCTAGAGATTCCATAGTTGATTTTATTGCCTGTAAGCACTTCGACGCTTGCATGGATTTTTCTTCCAAGTTCATAAGTGACCGCTTCTATCCGCTAAATATTGCTCGCACACAAACGTTTTCTGACTTTCACATGTGCTCAACCTTTAGTATATTATTCTCGCACACTTCGAATCATAACAAAAGCTTGCCTTATTTGCCGCACTTTCTTATCGACCCTAAGAAAGTCATACATGCTTTGCACATGCGACTCTTTGAATGACATATACATGCCCTTTCTACTCAATTGTTCATTCGATATTCATGTATTTCTAGCTGGTCCCTTTCATTCAGTATATCCGCAGTGATAGCGTAAATGCTGATAATGCACGCATTTGGAACAACGGAACAATGGTGTATTACAGGCAAAAAAGCAATGCATTACAGGTTTTGTGGGATGGAAATTATTGCGAAAATAACAATTCATTTTGGTGCACTCACCAAAGACTTATGTAGGAGAGTGGAGATGTATACCACCACAAATCCATTATTTGGGAGTTTGAAAACACACCATTAGATTGCGTGCTGTACTCTCTGTCTGACAAGTTATAAATTGAAATTTATATGTGACAACGCTTCGCTAAGTGTTTGTTTACATAGCGCTAGATTGGGGGTAGAAGCGAAATACTTTGAGAGATGGTTCCACGGCTGACATACTCATAGGTAGAAGAAATTCCCACAGCATTCCAGCCGGCTGTACTGCACTGTTAGTTTCAGAAAATGGCCTCCTAGCTTAGTGTGGTAGTTCAGTTCAATCAGCGGGCGGAAAATATTCTTGGAGTTCTTCAGATTCTGGTAAACCATTATGAGATCCCCTGCAAACGCCGATATCGCCTGCTGTGCATTCTTAGAGATCTCAGGGCAAATGGAAGAGACCCCTGACGTTTTGCTTGCCCTCAGTTGAGTAATCTCGAAGGCAACGTGATCCTGTTTCTGCCACGGCTGCCACGCTTAAATGGCGCATTCTACATACGGTCGCCCTTAGGTAGTGAGCGTCTGTGAGAAGACTGAGGATTCAAACCGACTAAACGCTCTGCGAAGAACGCCAAAGTGTTGCTTGCCGGTGCTCGACGCTTTCTCAGCTTATCTCGAACATCGGAGATCTTCCTGTACCAATACACCCAGGTCATGTCCTTCAGAGATCTTCTGCAAGGTGTGGTCTCCAAGCTTGTAATCGCTCACCAGCTGGGAACGCAGATGGATCTCCTCGCACTTAGCTATGTTCAACTGGAGCACGTTCCGCTTTGACCATTCATAAATGCAATCTAGGTCATGTTGGAGTAGATCGGGATCTTCCTTGTTCTTAATCGCCCGCCATATCTTGACATCATCGGCAAAAAGTGGGACAGTTGAGGAGATAACTCTTGCCAGGTCTTTGATAACCACTACGAACAGGCGCGGTCCCAGCACCGAGCCCTGCGGTACGCCACATTCCATGTCAGTCGGGTTTGAGAGTGATCCCTTAACACGCACTTGAAATCTCCGTTGGTGAAAAAGGTTACAACGCAACTAAGAACAGGATCTACGATTCCGCAGCTGTTTTGGTGTATAGTGCTTGTTTTGACTTGACTAGACTTGACTAGGGAGACAGGCAGAGACCAGCGTGTTGCAATCCATTAACACAACGAGTGAAAGTATTTCGGTGTTGCTCCTCCCGACACCGGCACATCACGACCGCGGTTTTGTCCTGGTTTAGACTCATCTGGTGGAGAGAGCCTGAACTGCGGTAGAACTCACATCCTAGTGGTTCACGGCTGACGCCCTGAACACTGTGCCACGGAGTTCCGCGGGCAGTGCTTGGCACAGCGGAAAGGGGTTCGAAGTTAGATTTGGAGAACCCACAGTGTGGTTGGATTGCGACACGCATCCTCTATTGAGACCTCCGTTCACTTTGAGGTAGACCTCGGTCATTCCGATCACAAAGACCGTATTCGAAATGGAAATATTTCGGTATTGCTGCTCCCAACAATGGCACACCACGACCAACGAGTGCTTCAAAATGATCCGTCATCCGAGTGCCTTAATGAATGCGCAACATTTGTCCCGTAGTCTAGGGCAGAGTGCTATGTGAAGGTCTACAAACGCGTTCCCTTCGCCTGATTGACGTCTATCATCACAACCGGTGTCTACTAGAGCAAAAATCAAAATATAGAAATAGCTAATGAAATTGAAATTAGGTCATTATGTATGCTACATAAAACATCACCTAGAGAACTGAATTTCATTCCCAGTTGTTACTATCTATTTAATTGTTCGTTTCCAAATTGTTCTCACAGGTTCTATACTTCAATTGAAAGCGCACCAGAAAAGCACTTATGGGAGAAAAGAGGTATCTCCATGGTCAGCGATCTGGTAAGTACGAATTCCCGATTCGCATAACGAAATTTTGTCGTAATTTAGAAATATGCATTGGTAAGCGAATATCATCTGGAATTGCCTTAAAGCTACTAGTTTCATTATCCCAAAGGATATCAAGATAAACCATAGTACTAATGAGCGGTGAGACATCTGATAGGCGTCTAACACAGCATCATAAAGCGTAAGAATGCATAGCATTTAATCGTCAACATTCCGGCAGCCACCCTCCTAGTCTTGAGTAAAGCCGTGAAAACTTTCGTCACCAGGTTGCTTCTGCAGTTCCTGATGCAGCCCACCGCCAATTATGACCTGGGAACCGTAATGAGTATTCGTCACATTGATGGTACATTTTACCAACCACTAACCAACTTGAAGAATAGTTGTTTGCACTTACCATGCAACGAGTGAAGGGATTTTGTCCACGGGGCCATTTTTGAGTGTTCTTTGCTTATCATTGAATCCGCGATAACGATTACTTATTACCTGAAGGACTTTGAAAGTGAACTCGTTTTTTTCACCCATCGTGCTGCGTCTTTGTGGGGAAAACTACTTCCTATGCCATACACTATAGAAACAATACTAAGCACTAATCTCTTTATGCGCACGCCTGTGACCAAAATCGTAGGAATTCACGGAATCTTCGTTTTTTGACGCCAAATTTGCAGCCATCTGGTAAATGTCATGGTTTCGCATATCTTGCTGACATTGTGTCAGTGTTAGCCATTTATTCGAAAAAACTGTGCATTTTATACCTTTCGAGAGGTACTTTATAGCATAATTTAGACACCAGATTATTCATTTGTCTGACAGCCAATTATTTTCGTAATCCTATGCACCATTCGCAAGCAACCGCTGATATCGCTTGTCCTTCTGTTCCATCCATCCGCAGGTTCTTCAAGTAAGTGCTCAATTCTACAAACTCAGAGTAACTACTGCCATTTAGCTTTGTCTAAATGTTGCACTATGATGTCGAAAGACAGCCATGTCAGCCCCATGCTGAGACTGATGTTGCATTCTTGATGCTTCTTCACCGCAGTTGGGCTAAACCAACTTACACTTAAACTAAGTCTTTTTAAGTTGGCTAAATTTCATTCCACCTTAGTTGGTTTGTTCTGCCTACCTGAATACTCTTCTATTAACTGGCCACGTTGCTTACATTAATTGCGCTTATCTTCGGTAACTTTATTACGTTTTGTGGCATTTTTAACTAACTTGTGGACATTTTTCCTTATCGCGGATTCGTTGCTAACCAACTTACTTCATATGCTTATTTAGCTTAGAGTTATGCCACCGTATGTGTATGCATCATTGGATTTGTTTTATTTCATCTTGTCGTTCCAGGTGATTGGCTGTTGCTTGATATCCGCGGTATGGCTGCTTTTGATGTGCATGTTGACAAGCTGCCTACCTGTCTATTACCCACTACCTCGTCCATGCTGGCTCCAGGAGACAGCTGGGCGTTGCTAGAGGGGCCGGGGTGCACGGCCCTTGTGGCCGTGCTAGGCTCGAAGAGTGGTTCCATGCACTCAGTGTGGAGCCGACTACGGTCCAGCCACCGACTTGTGTGCGCTTGATTTCCCAAATACAGCGTGCTTGTGTTTGCTTGTGAAGGACTGTGGGCCGGCTCCGTTGATGAAACGTGGCTCCCATCCACATGCCTCCCGGTCTTATTCCTTCGGGTTTACACTGGATATGGGGTGTGTGGTTGGAGCTGTGGGTGATGCAGCGCAAGCCACCCATGGTCCCTCTGTAGACGCAGGCGTCCTGTGTCTGGCCACAGTGACATGCAAATCCGAAACCGGATGCCGCCAACCATTGATTTTAGCATTGAAATGTTTGACCCACAATTAGCATATAGATTCGAGGTAATCATTGTGTGTTTGTGCAAGTTTGACGTCAGTAGACCAGCACTGGTTAGGTTAGGTAAACTCATTCACATTACAGCTGGCGCTGCTGGACTGTTCCCGGTAACGACTCAACAACGCGCCTCTGATGTGATTACATTACCCGGCTTTTACCATGTGGTCGGTTGTACCCTGGGCATTCAAGCTAACAATGCGCTGTTTTATGAACTGATGTAGTCACATGGTGCGCCGCAACAAGTATTGCGGGCACTAGTAGATGTTTCCTTTCATTGATTTTACGAGTTCTGACCGTGCTGCGGTCAAAAATTGCGACATCACTATCACCCTTTAGTACAAATTTTTTTTCGGCGATTCAAGCAACGAAGTATTGGGTCGTTTTGCGCATTTTTGTTTTCAAGCGAGTGGAGTACTCAAGCAAGTAGCTCTAGTTGAGGAGAGACTTGCATGCACGGACGAATGATACAAAACATTTGGCAGTTTAATGAAACCCTACTGCATTAACGCCTTCCACTCGTTATTATTATTGTCACTGCGTTTCACTCAAAAGGCACTTTCATGGTAGCCCCCTATGCTTAACAGCACAGCGAAGACAACTAAACCCACGAATTTTAGCAGCATTTATTTCAACAATGCTTCTCTCTCAAACAGATGCTGCGTGTAAGTGCGAATATCTAGTCGCAATGATATTTATTCATTTGTTTATTCATATCCATACTCATTTTTCTCCTATTACTGCGATTGATTGGATAGGTGGATTGTTAAAACGGCTGTGCGCACAGTGAAGCCCGGTAGCTGCAATTCCACTGTTTTCTGAGTACACCAACCCATGTCGACTTAAACTCGAGACCGGGCTACTGTCATTTTGGGTCAGCGCACATAAAACTAAAACACACAGACTCGTCTTGGCAGCGATAATCTATTGAATGGAGGAGCAGGTAAACTAGCTGCGGGCACACATTAAATGTGCAACCATGGAAGTTGTATGTGAACGAGTGAAGCTACTGTAGAAACCAGATATCACATTTACCACATCTGCTGTCACAAGTTCTTTGTCAGCGACATGGCTGCCCTGCCTCGCGGAACACTTTCCCTTCTGAATGCATGGGTATATAAAGCTTTCTCGAGGCTGTAACATACCGCAACGGAATCTTTCGCATTCGGCATTGCATAGGTCGACATATTTTATCTGATACGCGTCTGCTGAACAGCTGCGCACTTAACGGGCTCGAGCAACTCGGTTCATCTCTGAATCAATAATTCATGCATCATTTATCCAGCATATTTTCGCTTTTCCTGGCGGTTACTGCAGTGCTAATTCAATGAATTTTATTCATGATAGCCTTGCTATGAACAGGCAAAATTACATGCTTTACAAATGTCTCATAAGTGAGTTTGTGACAGGAATTTGTTGTTGGAATTTGCTGTTGGTGACTACAGAGCTTACATTCACAGCTGCTTTACGATCTAGCAGACAAGACATCGAAGCTGTAGGAATGTTTATAAGCTTGTATTCACTTCGTCTCCAGAACAGATACCACTATCCCTGTAAGTTACGGAGAAGGTGAGATGCTAAGTCGACGGTAGACGTTCAGCACAAAGACGATTCTGTCAAATTACGGTATTGCTGAATGTGTGCATCATTAAAGGCGCAAAATCTTCCGCTTAGAACATTGTTTATTTTAAAGAGATGCTGTCCACTACAAACCTTGGCATGGTAGTCACGTAGCTAAGTGGCCAAATCTCACCCAAATTCGGGAAGCTTTTGACGCTAATGCAGAGTGCAAAAACTTTGCCTCCGAGTGGGATCGGAGCGTTCGTTAGACCATCCTTAGCGATGACTTAGTGCTCAGTGTTTATTTACAAGTAATTTGGCGTTTCAACTGGCAAAAAGATCTATTTTCGATTATTCTCATCAGGCCATTACAGTAGTAAGAAAAAGCATTCAAGGTGGTAAGCCGCTGTCAGCTACGCTGAGGACAGCTAAGTGAAGAGATTGAACGGAGTCAATAAGTCAGATCGATGCCTAAGTCGATTCACTTAAGTTACGCCACGCAGTCGATTGTACGCCGCCTACGGTAGGCGTCGCAGCCCATACTATGCAGTTAGTGTCCGAGACCGAGTAACTGTCGTTTGGCCAGGGTAGGAGAAGCACTTGTACAAGGGCTCGCTGCTTGCAAAGCTCGGGCTAGGTCAGTCGGATGTAAACTGCTTCAGCTATCTGCAAGCGGCGTCTTCTGAGAGCATTCGGATAGCGTGGTGAGATAGAGTAGAAGATCTTAAATGCATCCGATGTTTGAAATTCGTGTCCGTTTAGGATCAGATGTTCCATAATAGCACTGTTTATGTTTCTGCCCATACCTCTTCTTAACGAGCCTAGGCAGTGCACTGCTACCCGTGTTGACAGACGCCTGGTTGTGTGCTCGAAGTATCCTGTACCACAGGTGCAAGTAATTTGATACAAGACGTATGCTTGGGACAAGACCGGGAGTCTGTGCTTGACACACGGTGTAACAAAGAGTGCGGTCTGGGCAACTACTTGTGGATAAGCGGCTGGGTAGGTTTTGGACACTGCGACTGAGAGTCGCCTTTTCAGTAAGTCCAAGGCAACATCTCCTTTGAATGGCACCGATAGAAACACATCCTTTTTTGGTACGGTCAACGTGATTTCGGAGCGCAGACGAATCGTGGTGTGCTTTCTGATAAACTGAACGGGGTAACCGTTCTCTTGTAATATCCTGAAGATACTGTTTCTATTCGTCCAGCGTCTCCGGGCTGCAAATTCTGGCGGCACGGTACTGCAAACAACGCAGTAAGTTTCACTTGTGTTTCAAAGGCACAAGTTTAAAGGTGTTTATACTGGTCCACCCATGTCGGATTCCGGAAAACGATGCTCTTCGGAGTCATCGTTCCGTCGCTACAGCAACACGTCCAAAAAGGACAGCCTTCCCTCGCTTTCCATCTCATTGGTGAAATGCAACGACGGATTGCGCTGTTGAATTGAGCTAAGAGTCGAGAAACGTCTCTGTTTGAATAACAAATAGTGAAAGTGTCATCTACATATCACAAATACGAATCAAACGTTGCGATAACCGGCCTCAAAGGTCCTCCTTCAAGCTTCGACAGGAAAACTTCAGCAAGGAGCTGTCCTAGGGGGACCCCATCGCCACACACTCAATCTGCCTGTAATAGATTCCATGAACTAGGGATTGCATGTTAAAGGAGCATCGTAAAATAATTTCCTTTATTGTGCTTGGCGGAATCCCGAGATGTAAATTCTTGGTGGTAATGTGATCACAAAGATAATTGACGATGATTCAATATCGAATGAAAGCAGGAGTTTTCCACACACGTTAGGGTTCTGTACGTGCTTCAAGAATTAAGAAGAGGTTTTTAGTGAGTGAGTAGCAAATTCTTTCCGCACTGGCTCCAGCACTTCCTCTAGCCACTTTGCAACGGAGTGGAAGGCGGAAGAGCACATGTCAATAATCAGGCGTAGAGGTACGTCTGGCTTGTGTACTTTCGGAAGTCTAGGAGGATGCGAGCCTACTGGAGTTAACCGATCAAGTAACGAGTCGGTTATCAGATTCGTCTGTCTTAACTCCTTCAGTCGTTTGGCGATCGTGGCCTCATCCTATGTGGATTTAATCTTTTGAACTACATCGAGCGCAAATTTGCTCCGATCTTTCAAAATAGTTAGAAGTTTGGAAACGTAGTCAGATGGATTCATTAGTACCCAACCAGTACCTTTGCTTTGTCTGGATAGTAACAGTTCGGATTCGCTCTCATTTCTTTGACGGATTCTCTATGTTGCTTAGACTAGCTGTTCGATACTATCCCTTCACGGCTCTTACTTATGGGGTCGTGTACCGTCTGTCGGTAAATAAAAAAGTTTATTTTCATTTTATTTTAATATTTGGCGAGGTGAACCAATGGTGGTTTTGAAGGTATCACTCCCATGTGAAGACGTAGACGTCAGTTTACTTAGTTGATGCATTAGGTGTTCGAAGTGGCGGTAACGATATGAACTTACACATTGGCACGTTGTGAAAAGCAAAATTTTGGTCCAAGTGTATAAGCCTCTAATTGTAGCTGATTAAGTTGTACGCTGGACACGTTGTGGACATATCTCTCCGAGTGCTGCGGAAATTTTTTTTCCGGTTGCGTCGGTTGAAAACACTTTAACAACGTGGCGTACTTTTTCTCTTTCGCTTTCCGCAAACTCCTTGAACGTATTGCTCGAATGATTCGCTTTGTATGGTATCAAGCTCAAAGTGATCGACGTGCCGAAGTTTAGATCCATAATGTTTACATGGTGGATGTTCAGACAATGAAAAATAAAATGAGAAACAAAGAGAGGTGGTCACGATATAGTGGTGGTCAACTTCGGAAGACTAACTGTTTGTGCCACAAGCTACGCTGATGGTTCAGTGCAGTTACCAGAATCAGGGTTATTCACTTGACTTCCTTTGCTGAAGCATCCTTTTGACGTAGGTGGCGGCCAGTTACACATTTGTTGATGAGGCTAGTTCTGTTTGACATCCTGCCAGTTGGGCATAGCTGCCGATGAAGAAGCACTACCTCAGTAGTGACTTTCCTTCCCAGCCTAGACCATCGTGCCATCTGCAATTACAATGTAGCTGGTCGCATGTAAACATCAGTGTATAGGTATGAAATAACTGGACATGATTCATTCGGCCACCTGAACTCTTCTCATCCCAGTTCCCCATGAAGAACTTCATGTGCATCAAGGAAAGATATGATGTCCTGTTTGTGCTTAACAGACTTTAGTACCCTAACTGAACAACTTCGTCGCCGTACTATTCCCTTATATTAAACAACTTAAAATCTTAATGCGCAGCTTCAGTAATGTAAGGATTTTCATAGGCGACTATGTGTGGAACCGTCTGTTGATTTGTGTAATGTTCAGCTTATTTTGACTTGTGAAATCCTCCAAAAACGTAGCTGTTGCTCGCGGAAACGTAAACCATAATGTTGTTGCTTACCCTTAGACGATGGCACAAAAGCGTACTTTGTCGGCTCTGCCAGCAACTCTCAGCACTTGGAGCTCTTTGCCGGATCAAGATTTGGTAAGTACTGATTCGCAGTAGGACAATTTCATTGTATACAGCCGATTAAGGCTTCGTACCTGACTGTAACTAAACACTGATCACACTAGCTTTGAAAATATAGAGTCAGGTATAAAGAGAGAGAAGTTCTTATTTGATTAGATGTATGTCTTTCATGGAACTGGTGGCGATTCGCCCGTCAGTTAGGAGCAGTTGTATGAAATCATGAAAGCTGGAAGCCGTGCTTGGGTGCAAGGCTTTATACTTCCGTGTTATGGTTCTTCTCACAATAACTCGTCGATCAGATGGAAATTAGGTTTTGACCATCCGAAAACACTGGATCAAATGGGCCACAGTTGCTCTTTTAGTGATTTCTGTGCTGAACAACGGCAAAACAGACGCTAGTGCATCATCCCTAATGAGGCTATTAAGGAAGCATTTGTTGGTAGTCACTGCATAACCATAATTTGTGTTCAAGGTCAAGTGGTGATTATATTTGTTGCTGTTTCGAATAGGGGAGCTACTGATATCAGTACTGGAAAATGACCGGTCACAGGTGATCATATTTAAATGAACTCAATGGAAGCCAGGGCGAACCGAAGCGAATACCAGTACGTGAACAAGTCAGACAAATAGCTAATCCACAGAAAAACGCATATAGTGAAAAAGACCAGGTAGACAAGGTATCATCCATTTGTGGTAAAGGGAAAAGTAGACGATATTCTGAGACCATTAAAAGTTAAACTAGATAAACTGATCATGCCTGCGCAGTTCTGTGTGTGCATTATTTTCGTGGAACCAGTAGAAAAGACAAGTGATTATTCCGTTGTTGAATAAGGCTATCATGGTTGCACGGCGAGATCTCCAAGTGATTGCTTTAGGGCTTAGTCATTTACATAACAGCTTGGAGATTAGAGCAGCTGCTACTTGGGCTGAAATCTGCTAGGCATCACGTTAGAAGTCGAATACAGGCAGCGTCGTACTAAGTTGGATAAGATAAAAGTTAGCAGCTTTATATGCACATACTTACCCCCACCTAGAATTTGCTGTATCAGTAATTGGCGATAAAGCAGCTGCTTTTCACTGGCAAGCACCCATCAACTATTATGTTGTACTATTCTGTGCAGAAGCAACCTGTGTACAGAAAGACTTTGCAAGCATTGGCCTACCCTATCTCCAGCAATACGCCGCACAATTTCCAGCTGTTCAACGCCACTAGTCCTACATACTGCTATGAATGCGAAGGGCTACTTTGGGGTGTAGCGAGACAAGGTCTGCGTTGCACGGAATGCGGCGTAAAATGCCACGACAAATGCAAGCGGCTGTTGAATGCCGATTGCCTACAGAGTGAGTCCATGCCTTTGCTTGCCTACTTTTTTTCTCTGTGTAATGTTGTGATAGGCTTCTACTAGTAGTATATCAGTCGAAGATTTGTGTATGCCCACAAGGCGAAACAAGCGCGGGTTCAAGACGCTCTAGGGCAATGCATCTGTTCCGCATCCTATTAACAACCTATTATCAATAACCTAGATATTCTTTCAGTGTCCAACACCACTTCGTCCATTATAAGTTGGTAGTGTGCTTGCATCAAATTGTGGTTGACTAGAGTCCCCTATCATATATTATTTTTGTAAGGAATGTACCTGATATTCTTGAGGATCCAAGTCCTACATTCAGTAAAGATCAAACACTAAGCCAAATAGCTCTTCTAAGAATGCATGGTTTAAGTTCCGCTACTAATAATTCAATTTGCTCTACCACATACTGCACCCTGTTAGCCCAGCTTTAGCTGGGCAGTGGGACGTCACACCTGGCAACATTGCCACAAATAGTCCTATTTGACCTCAAGATTCTTATACAAGTAGATGGGAGTGAATATATAATGGATTCATCTCTATCTTGAGGTGGCTGGTCATGTTGTACTGTGCACACCAATCGGTTGATCTCAGCGTATTTTCGGACACGAAGTTTAGCACTCCGTTAACCACAATTGACTACAGCTTAGCACTGTCTTGGTTAATATGTAGAAACATATAGGTTTGTTATGAGGTGAAATGTAAACACGAGCTTCGCTTCAGTTTTCGAATTATTACCGTTCTGTTCTCACATTCATCATCGTCAATATACACGTTAGGTGCAGCTTTTGTGCCGCACACAAAAGACAAGAAAATAACATCAGAGGCACGCCAGCTGAGTCTCCAGTAATCAATGGACATCGTTCTGGAGAGCTTACAGCCGGCTATCGTGCGGCGAAAAGAGAGCTATATTATGCCTAGCAAAAGAGATCGCACTTGGAGGGGAGGCTAAGCAAGAGGATGATAGACTAAGGAACTCACAACACAAACGCCATTGGGGCCAGATCCTAGCCATATCAGCAAGTGTGTCCAATCAAACGTGTTCATCCTCCTTAGGACCCCAGTCAATCAGTCGGGATGCACCAACCGACGCCAGTTTCGAAGTGAGTGTTTTCATTTTCTTCGACCAAGTCATCGCTTGGCCTCCCCTCCTCCTCTTCCAACCGCATCCCCGGCGTGCAAACAATGCACGTCCCGGGAGTCGGTGTGCTGGCATGCGCAACATGTGGCTCAGCCATTGGAGCCTGGTGTGTAGTATAATGGTGCCGAGCGGTTCACTAGCTCTTCCTTCACCAAATACGCGACGCCGAACACGCTCATTGCACACGCGGTGCTCCCACCAGTCATGAGCTAAGCTGCGAAGGCGGCGTTGATCGAATGTGACAAGCTCCTTTTTATGTCTGCCGATTAGATGGACCAGGTTTCCCAACCGTATAAAAGGGTTGAACGGACGGTTGCATCATAAACTCTGCTCATCAGGGCGAGAGTGATGCCGTGCCTGCGCCACAGGTGGCGGTGATTTGCAAAAGCACCACGAGATTTGTTTCGATCTCACGGACGCTAATATAGCTACAGAGGTACTTGCATTCCTGAACGACTTCTAGCTGATCACCACCAACGGTCAGCACAGGTGTGGGTTCTTGCCAATCTTGGAGAAGAACTTTGCATTTCGTTGGAGCGAAGCATAGCCCAAAACGATTGACAACCAGTGCTAATCGGTCCAGTGCAGCCTGGCATGTTTGGGCGCTGTCACATGTGAGAGTAATGTCGTCCACATACTAAAAGTCAAGTAGACGCTCACCAGGAAATAGCTCCACACATTCTAGGTCGTGTCGGTGAAGACTGTTCCCATGATTCCATCAATAGCCAAGTTAAAGAGAAAAGGTGACAGCGGGCAACCTTGACTCACACCCCTGGAGATACTGAAGGGCGGAGACAGTTTACCATAAACCCTCACTCTGCCCGAACTATGAGCGTACAGCGCTTTGATAATGTTTACATATTTATCAGGCACCTTTTTTCAGCAGATATTCCCAAAGGGCACATCGATCCACCGAATCTAAGGCACTTTTGAGGTTGAGAAACACGACAACGGTGGGTCGCAAACAAATCTGGCGGCGCAGCAATTGACGCAAAGTGAAGATGTGGTCGTTGCAGCCTCGATTTCGACGAAACCCGGCTTGCTCTTCGCGGATCTCGCCTTCATGAGCGTCATTCAGTCTGTGGAGAACGACTGAGGTAGGAAATTTAGAGGCATTTGTGATCAGAGTGATCTATGGTTGCCGCATTCCGAACGGGAGCCTCCCTTCTAACTTGAGACTATGACCGAGCTGCTCCAGCCTATCGGGACAGTTTCCTGCTCCCAACGTTTCCTTAGCAACTTGTGTAACTCATCTACAAGAGCATGTCCGCCGAATGAATAGAGAGCCATGGGAATGTTCTCAACCAAAGCCTTTGGTTCAAATCTTTGCCGCAAGGCAGCGGGATTTTTGGCACTGGATTACAAAGGGTCCGTTTTATGGAGTAAGGAGCCATACTCACTCCAACACCCAACCTGGAGACTGAGCTTGTCTGGCCTCTAACCATTGACCAATCTGGTATGAGTGGCTATGAAGGTGCAAAAGCACCACCCAGCATAGCTCAATGGATCACTGGAGCACACAAACCATCGCAACACGCTAAGATCCCGTTTCCCATTAGCCAACCATTATCGTTTGGTGTCGCCTGTCTGCGCTAACACGCCCAATGTCTGTGCCCCAGTAATTAAAGGAGAGGTGGCGTTATCTAGACAAGACACAAGGGTCAATAAAGTCACTTTGCTGGTCCCGGGCAGCAGAATAAAAGCTGTTAAGGCAACTTACCACAGTGCATGAAGGTTAGCTGCAATATCAGTGGATTCAACTTGAATGCTGTTCTACACGGACATGCGTACATAGTTGTTTCGCGGCCTGATGTCATTATTCAGATGCGCACCTGCCCCTCGATTCATCGTAAACCTGCAGGATTGGTAGTGAGTCACTAGTGAAACAGCTGACTTAGTGAACCCGTGTCCTTGATCCTGATAACGTGCAATTAAAGCATCTGTGTATTCCGCCCTAAACATCGTAAAGCTACTTCTATCCTTTTGGAGACACTAGACTTTTCTCCATCACCCACCGTCTACTCTGATAGATATTGCAAGTATTGTATTTTAGCATTGAAACTGCCCTAGAAATACCAACCGGAAACAACAGTTATGACAAAGTGCCCACTTTGCGCCCCCTCTCACAGGAGCTGCTGAGAAATCCTTGCGACATGGTGCCGTTGACAAGGCCGAGGCTGCAATGGGCGCCATTAAAGCGCTAATTCACCGACGGCTTGCAGAAAGACCGGATCTTTTTGGGTTCGTCGCCGCTGCGTTTCAAATCGATGTCCGATCGAAACAACATCTGACTGTATTGGAGTCGGTGGAAAAAAGTATACTGGGCGGTGCAAGTCAGCGTTTGACCAAGCTTTCTATCACAGGTGGGTTGATGTGATGAAATGAGCAAAAGGCTTGGAAATGTTTCAAAACGTTGACAGCTTCTTTAAACCATTTTCCAAGCCACAACTAAGTTAGAGTTCGAATTTATCTCTCCAGTTGGGCTGAATGGCAACCGACACCAGCTTCAAATGTAGTAAACAAATAAAGAAACTCATCTTTGATGATGAGAGACAAATCTAACTCGACATGATCGGGTAACTGCACACTGGTATAGAACTATGGTCACAGGGGGGAATCATGCTAATTATTAAACAGATCAGATACTGGCATTTGGAAAGATAGCAATGGCACATAAAAAAGATGGATTAAGTGAGTTGTTGTTGGCTGACCTTCAGACACTCTCTCACATACGTTAATTTAAACAGCTCTCAGATAAAAGATTATGGCGGTGAACCGAATATTGGGTCATAGGAAACCTGGAACTTACTCGCACGCTTGTCTTGCTGTTATGGAACCACCGAACAGCTTAACTACGTTTTGTACAGGTAATGGTTAAATTTGTGCTCAAGAAGGCAGGAACTTTCTCCGACTGGGGACGCGTTTCATATTCTAGCGTACATGTTAAGGAAAAAGTCCACTGATCTGCTTGCCCAGGAATTGCATTATGCAATTGAGTACTTATTCCGTGTGTTGTAAACAGCTGACTTGGTTATTGGTATATTGCGAGGTTTGAATATATGACTAGTTTGTGTCGCATATGTCGTAACTAAGGTGGATCCACCTTGAGCTTATTACATATTTCAGATTATGCCAACTTCAAGAAGCGCACACATGGCATTTTGTGAATACTCTATGTACTAGTTCCAAAGGAATGCGGTCGCAGTTTCTTCGATCTGAAGTACACCAGTGAGCAACGTGGGTCAAGCCACCTAGATATTTGAATGTAGCATTGAGTATTGCAGGAAAAAGTCTTTAAAATTCATTCAATTGTCTGCTCGTCCCTCACGGTAACAGGACCGAATTTTTCACAGAAGTCAAGTTAGCATGAATACTGTAATCCCAGGTCTCCTTCCGCAGGACAGAGATTAAGTGGTTTGCCATCAAGAGTTAGGTTGCTTTGACTTAAATCGCACTTGCACAACATTTGTCAGTAGAGAAAGACATTTTTTACTTTGAGCAGCAGGTTACAAGAGCATGGAGGTTGAGTTTGATCATGTTGACATAATCATTGAAGGCATCCGGACGGAAGGTGTACGCAATTTCAATGTCGTCGGCAAACAGTTATGGTGTGCCGAATGTTATCATGTCGGAGCTATCGGTAACATATATTAAGAACAGTATCGGCCTAAGCACATTGCAGGCGACATGTGTAGGTTCAGATTTGTGTTCTTGAAGTCGTACCACCTGCGTTCCATGTATGACATGAATCAATAAAGCAATAGTTCACAGATCCCGCGGAGCATCATTTTGACTATTAGTTTTCCACGAGCTACCCGATCAAATGCCTAGCGCATCTCAAGATACGTTACAGTGGCCGACCTAAGAAATAACGTGAAGCAGTTTTTGATTTAGAAATTCCAGGCGGCAGGTTATGCAAGACCGAGTATTCAAGAAACTGTGTTTCGAGTTATTCATTAGGTTGCTCGAAAGTAGGAACTCGACAGATTGGAAGGTCATTTGGGTGGGCAATGCCCCATTTCTATAGGAATATGACAGTTCTTGCTTTGATGTCTCTCCGCAATTTTTAAGAATCAGATGGATAGCTTTTGGGGTTATAATTCCTAGTCTCAACAAAGAAACTAATTTGTGTCGTGGCAAACTATGGTCTCTTTCCATTACGTTAGCACCTTAACCGAGCTCATAGTTAATAATAGTAGGGGGTGTCGTCTTCGCGGAATTTCACAACTGCGGAGTAATATTGTTTGGACCACTGAAGTGAGATTATTTTGTGACTCTGATGCGTTTATGTATATCACGGAGCTCAAATTTGACAGCTGAGCTGATCGACTATGACGGCTAGCAATAGCATGTTGAAGGCAGCGCAGAAATATTAGTTAAACATACCAATAGTATTTGCAAATGCGGTTGTATGCAGCCGTCTGATGCTAGCAACGTAATTGTGCCTTGCTTGCGCTTGACAGTTCTTAGTTTTAAAAGGGTGGTCAGTTCACGGTTATTGAATCGACTACCAAGGATCCGACTTCCATCTGCGATTTGTTTAATGTGATAAGCCAGCTTCAGCGATTTGGGTAACGCATGGTGTTACACGGTGTTACACCTAAATCTTTTAATCCTCTGTGAGCTCCCAAAAACTGATAAATTAGCCTGCTTGTATACGAATGCCCAGGGTATTTTCAATAAGCAGGCCGAACTGAATGATTGCCAAGTCTCCGAGCCATATACTATCATCGGCACCAATGAGAGGTGGTTACACACTGGAACGTCTGACACTGAAGTTTCAATACGGCAAGTTAGACTCACAAAGGATCAGGAGCAATTCTGTATTACCGGTTACTTATATTGCGAGACCATAGATGATTCAGCTTCTCAGTTCCCTAATTATCTTCGGTGCCGCCTGCAGTTAAAAAGTAGGGACACTTGCCATAAGGCAAGCCTTGGTGTACCTCCTCTAAGTTGACACCCAAAAGAGACTACCAAGTTGCGACTAATCATGCAGTCACTGGTCTCAACTTTGTCTGCTATGCGGGATATCGAAATGAAAACTATGAGACGATGCAAACAATCACACACTACGATCACTTCGACCAGCTTGTCAGCGCTACAACCTGGTCGTTCCTTGTCGAGGACTCACCGGAAGTCGCCTAAGTCGCTTTCGTCAAACAATTCAGTTGGCTGATTACGGATGCCTTAGAGATAAGAGATTGCAAGGAGGCTAAAACAGGTTCATTCGTAAGGAGCAGAACACGAACACGGATGATCGCACGCAACGCAGCCTGGAAAGAGTATAGATTAACTCTAACCGATGATAATTTGGACAACCACGTAGCCCAACGTAATCACTGCACACAACTTCTCAGAGATGACAAAGCCGCATATCAGAACATGGCGAAAATCTTCAGCACTAAACACAAAATGCTGTACAAGTATGTCAATGACATTCGTAAGGTGGCGCAGGGAATCCTTCTGCTCAAGACGGCTGATGAGCCAACAAGTACGGCTATGGAAACAGCAAACCCTTTGCTGATGCAATTTGTTCCCATATTCCAGTTGGTCGACATCAAGTAATCTTTCAGAGTTGTTTGCCGCGCCGCCAGGATTCACACACATTCCTTTTACCGCTGAAGATTTATTGCAGTAGCTGACATCACTCCGCAACCACAGCTCCCCGGGTATCGATACCATTCGGCCAGTGACAATGGGAGCAGCAGCATAACAAATGAAAGAACCTTTGGCTCACTGCTTCCAGAGCTGCTTAGAACATAACCAGTATTTTTTCTCTTTAAAATGCCGAGGTCACGAAATCCATCGTTGCTGATACCCTGGTGTGCTATGTAGAAACTAACACAATTACTTCCGAGCAGCTCGGCTTCCGTCGACAACAATCGTGCACAACGACTTTACTAATCGTACGGAGTATTTGGACCGAGTCACCTGACACTGAAGAAGAGGCTGACGTAACCCACCTGGATTTTTCGAAAGCATTCGATCGTCTAGATCATTGGGTACTCCTTTCCAAGCTTCAGTATTACGCGATCGGTGACCATCCTCTAAGTTAAATCGTCAACTTTCTCGTACAACGGCAGTTAGTGGTCAGTGTTCGGAGCTCCTTATCTGACCCCCTACAATTTGAGTGCAGTGTGTCGCAAGGCACAGTTCTAGGTCTGCGATTGACGTTTATTAATGACCTCTTACAGGTAAACGCTTTAAACTTCCTTTTGTTTGCAGAAGACATCAAGTTATGGCGCAGGATTCAAGTGAATATTGACCAGAATTTGCTCCAGAGCGACCTAGACACGGTGCATCGGTGGCCGTTCCCGAATTCACTGCATTCCCACGTGAGTAAATGCAAGGTACTCTCCATACCACACCATATCAACTACATATATGGGCTCGGAACGCCAGTACTGCAGCAATCATCTGTTGAATGTGATTTGGGTGTGCTGGTTCCTGATGACTTGCTCCAGGCAATCCGAAAAGGCATCGAAAGCTGGTAACCCACAGGCCGGACTGTTGCGACTAGCATTCGCACAAACATACATCGCTATATTTCGACAGATGTTCAGTGCGTTTGTCCGCCTCCATGTCAAATACGCAATTCAAGCCCGACAACCACGGCTGAAACATGACCTTAGTGCACCGGATCAGCCTGTATGTCTGGCATAAAAGTACGTCATTGAAGTGCACAATCTACCATACGATCAGAGGTTGAAACCATTGGGGCTGCTCAGCAGACTGTATCGCAGATTACGATGCGACCTAATAAGGGCTTACTTGATTATGCACGACTCCCACCATGTGTACCGCTCCATACTGCAACTTTGCAGTACTACAAGCCAGAGAAGTCAGGCACATAATCTCGCAGAACAGTACACTCGTCTGGAGTGCCGCAGTAATTTCTTTTCTATTCGTGTGGGTCACGCGTGGAATGCTTGCGCCGATTCGATAATTTCTGCACCTACACTGAATACTGTATTATAGAGCAAGTAGAAATGAATTCTGTACAAGTCTTTCGAAATATGGTGAAAAACCTTATAAAATTTTCAGGCATGAACATCGGTATCGTTCTCATGTAACATTTAAAATACCTGACTCATGGTATTGCAGGACTCACAAATGTGTGATGTCATCATAAGTGTGCAATGGTTCTCTGAATTGAATAGTGGTAAAATATAAATCTAACAACGTTTTGAACTGCTGCACAGACGTTGCCTCCAACACATGTTCAGGCAAACTGTTCCAAATATTTACCACTCTCCGTTCGAAGCACAGTGGGTGGGGAACACACTTCACATCTGGCACGACAAGTTTGTATCTGTGTCCGCGTGTGCTGCATGGCCCTCGTAAGTGCAGCACTGGCCAC